ACAATTAATAATGAAAATTCAAATTTTTTTAAATAAAAATGTTCTAAATTTATTTTATAATATTTTTATTTTTTAATTATGAAAGTCATAAATAACATTTGTAAAGTTTTTAAATTAAAATATAATTTTTTAATTGTTACTAAATCAACACATTTTTTCATTTTTCATTTTCTAAAAAAACTGTTTTTTTAAAAAACAAAAAACATAAAGCAAAAAACAGTTTTCAGTAAGTAAACACATCATTAGTTTTCTCCCGTTGAAAAATTTGAAAGCTTTAGCCTCCTTAATAAATGTGATTCTCAAGAATTCAACTTATGTTTTCAAGTTTACAAAGATCGATGAGACTCTCAATTTTTTATGATTTTTCGTTGATGTATTTTTTTTAATATTTTTTAATAAATGCACTTTCAAAAAATTGAATTTGTGTTACGCTTGTGAGATCAACGTTACTTATCACCTTAATCAATACTTTAATTTATTACTATTTTTATGTTGCATAATGCGTAGAGTCAAAATTATTTATGTTAAAGGACTCTTAATTTTTATGAATTATTCGTTGATGTCCAATCCAGTCAAAAATTATCAATTTCACGATGAATTTTTTTATTTAGAATATATTTAGCCAATTTTTCTTTTTAAAAACTATTTTCTAAAAATAAAAAAAAAAAAATTTGAGGGTTCAATAATTAAAAAACCTAAAGGCATTGACATTAGGACGGTGTCTCTACTCTCTAGCTCCATGTGAAATTGGATAACACCTTAGCCAAGAAGAAAGAAATTGTTGAATTAGGAATTGCCACACGAGGGGAAGTGGAGGAGTCTTTTCGTGAAATAAGTTAGGGCTAATTATGTTGTTTGGAAACTACATTTTTCTTTTTTTCTTTTTTTATTTTTGAGGTTTAAATAGAATATTTTTACAATTAATCATCCGAATTATTTAAAAATTGCAACCAAATAATTGAATCTGATTGGACTTATGGAAATACTAACGGATACGAAATTGAGCTCATTTTTTGCCATGTCATCACGTGGACAAAAGCAGTTTGACTCATCGAAGCATAAGACCAGCCCGTGATTTTTAAACAGGAAAAGAACGTCTTGACATTTTTAACATCCACACTCAAAAAGGATTTAGGAGCCCGCAAAATTTTGATTCGAGCATTTTATCAAACAACTACCGCGCATCAGCATTCCAACAAGCAGTATTGAAACCTTTTAATTGTAAATATTTTCTATTCAGATATTAAAATAAAAAAATTTAGACAACAAAACAATAAATACTCAAGTACAATTTCAATACACAAGATTCCAACCGGAGACTTTTAATTAAGAAAGAAAGAATTCCAATTATTTAATCTTAACTCACGTGTGATTTTTTTTTATTTTTTTATCTTTGTTCATTCTAAAACATTATTTTTAAAGATGAGTCTTGATAGCGATAAAAATCAATAAAGGATAAAATAGAAAAATAATAATAAAATTGAATATTTCTATCTCATTTCTTTAGATGAAATTTAGGTATGTATTTTTTTAATAAATCTCAAATTATAACCATGGAAATTGCTTTCCTCCAATTGGACCTCCTGATTGATAAACAAAATAAAATCTTTTTGGATAATTTTTTTATTGAATAAAAAATTTGAAAAAATTGCTTCATATAAGAGAATATTAATTACAATTAATTTGACTATGGTTATAATTAATGAATTATTGTTTTATCAATAATAATGAAGAATCAAAATTTAAAGGATATATCTAAAAATTAAATTGTAATGAGTATTTAAAATTATATAGTCTATGAATTATGCTTCATGATTTATGCTCATATTTACTACACTCTCTGTTTCAAAATATAAACAGTTTTTTTTTTATATTTTTAAGTAATAATAAATTTTTTTTAAAGTTTTATCCTTATTTATATTAGATAAGGTATAATAATGAGAGAAAATTCTAATTTGATCAAATTATTATTTATTTTATATTATAATTTAAGAAAATTAATGGCGTATTCAATCCTGTGAATTAATAATTGGGATCTTTTTACAATACAAAATTCAAAAATTCTGCACCCATGCAGAACTCTCTTTTTGTGTCATTTGTCAATGTTAACCTGGCATTGCAAGTAACCAAGACTCGTTAAATTCAGTTATATATTTTTTTATCTATTTTTTTAATTTTTTTCTCTCATAACTTTTCCTTATTCTTTTTTTTTTTTATAAATTGTGAAGAACTTTATTTTGTATATAAAAATAAATCCTTACATATTAATAATTTTATATGAAATATTAATCGTATTATCTTACATAAAAATAAATTATTAACAAATTGGTCTTAATGAAAATATGGAATTCTGGAAAATACTTTGAAGCATAACAAACAATAATTTTAGATAATTATTTTTATAAAAAACGACAAATGATTCTAATACCATATTAAAATTTTCACAAATTTAAAATTTTGTATTAATTATAATATGATTATACAATATCTCTTATTTTAAAAAAATATAAATAAATTTAAGGTAAAAACTATAGTTGTTAATTAGAATTCACAAGATATTATTTTGATGGTTCAATTTATATAATTCGATTTTATAAAAGTGAGAGATTTTATAAGTCAAATATTTAAATTATATAATTTAACTAATGGTTAAAAACTATAGTTGTTAATTAGAATTCACAAGATATTATTTTGATGGTTCAATTTTTATATTAATTCGATTTTATAAAAGTGAGAGGATCTTTATAAGGTCAAATATTTAAATTATATTAATTTTAATTTTATTAATTAAAAAAACTTATTTTATTGAAGTAAGCATGATGGGGTATTTCATGTGTATATATATAAGCGTACTAACATTTCTATATTTGCGACGCTAATACATTGATCTAAATGTTTTACATAATAACATAAATAAGAATTTATTAATTTATTTATTACAAAGTTTTATATAAATTTAATTATTTGCGCTGGTAAATAATAATGTGATGTATTATGCATAATTATTTTATATCTCTTACAACCTCTTTAATTTTCTATAATTATTTTCTGAAACAGTAGTAATTTATAATATTTACACAATTAAATCAGTAACATTTTTATATTGTAATAATATAAAAATAAATTATTCCATATTTTTGATGACTTCATTATATATGGTCAATAACGTTTATCAAGCATTTTAATATCAATATTTGTATTTAACTTATACTTTAAAATTGAATTAGCTAAAATAGTTTCTGTTTATTGAATACGGAATTTTACAAGTATCTATTATAGTATAACTATTACCCTAAAACTTCAACTAACTATTTTTTCCGATGAATTTGATGTGGTCCTATTAACCTATATGCAATATTATCTTTTTTGATAATTTTTTTTAATAAAAATGGGGGAAAATCTTAATAACTATTGGTCAGCTACATATTACTGAATTTTCAGTTCTAGGTTCTCACCATCCCGAAAAATGAAAAACTTTTTTATAATTATTTATTAAAATTTTAAAAATATATTTGGGTAAATAAAATGTGATGTATTAGATAATTATTTTATCTTTAAACCTTTTAATTTCTATAATTATTTTGAAAAGAGTAATTTTTTATTTACACAATTAAATAGTAACATTTATATTTAATAATAAAAAATAAATATTCTATTTTTGATGACTTATTATATAGGTAATAAGTTATCAAAGCATTTTAAATATAATGATTTGTATTTAACTACTTTAAATTTAATAGTAAAATAGTTTCTGTATTAATACAGAATTTTTAATATCTATATAGTAATTTTACCCTAATAATTCAACTAATATTTTTCCGATGAATTTTATGTGGTTATAACTATTGCAATATTATCTTTTTTGATAATTTTTTTTTAATAAAAATGGGGAAAATCTTAATTAACTATTGGTCAGACTGACTATACTGAATTTCAGTTCTAGTTCCATCCCGAAAAATGAAAAACTTCCCGATATTTTGAGATGAATTGAAAACTTCCCGTCTTGGCTTGTCGCATTCCATACACGCCCCTAGCTTGTGGTAGGGTTTGTAGATGGCGGTCAAGGAGGATGGTTGTCATGCTGGTGGGGACATTAGCATTTCGCAACTGGCAACCCTAATCATCGTATTGGTTGCTGACTCCCTTATCTGTCAACTGGCGGTTGTGAGGAGAGGAGAGGAGAGGCCAGACGATTTTTTAGAAATAATATTCATAAAATTTTTAAATTTAATTGAATATTTAAACCAGATGACCATCATTCACCGAGGTGAAACTGATTTTCACAAACTGGGAGTAACAAAAGCCATGAGATAAAAAAATCCAAATGTGTTTTGGACCATCACAATTAAATTAGTATGTAGTAGTATTTCCCAAATTTGATTTTGACCAATCTACTGCAACAAAATCTTCCCACTGCCAAATTTGATTTCTCTACAGGCTTTAAAGCTCAAAATAGACTAGTGTGAATTTCCTCATTATAGACATCAAATGAATAAAAGTGGGGTCACTGTAAATAAGTACAAACACAGAGGGCAAATACGTCCTAAAAATTAATTTTTTGAAAAAACCGCCCATTGTAAAACGAGGACATATGTCCTAAACATGGAGTGCCCACCGGCCATCCACTCCCTACATCGTGTAAAGAAAGGGGGCGTAGCATAAGATTTGAGATTTCCGTTTTGGCCTTCTTGGCCATCAATAAATCCACTAACTCACCAAAAATAAAAAAAAAAGGAAAGAAATTCAAAGTTGTAAGACTTTCCTTCCAAATATACCTCTGCCTGCCTCTTGTCACATGCTTGCCAAGTGCCTGCGCTGGCCCAACTGTCTTACCTGGCACCAACTTTGCGAAGGCCCCCCACTACTTACTTAACCCAGTGCAACCGCGCGTGTTCCTCACGATCACTCCTTGCGATTGAAAATATCTTACTGGGTCCGCATTCCAGACTATAACCCTCTCTTTTCTTCTCTGGTTCTCCACTCCCTACAAATACAGTACACCCTCTTCCCACTCTCTTCCTCTTTAGTTTGCTTCTCCATTTCAATTTTCCCTTTTCCTTTTCTTACTCTGTGCTTTTGTAGCCCTAACTGGGGCCCTAAAGCTGCGAATCCAGCAAAAATCCAACTGGGGTTGCTATCATAAAATCTTAACCGAGCAGCAAACGCCCATTTACTCATACATCTAAAACTTCTTCGCTAGTTGTTGCTCTCTCTGTGTCATTTCTAGGGCTTAACTATGGCTGAGAGTTTAGATGACGGTGAGTTTTGGCTGCCCCCTCAGATTCTTACTGACGACGATATTTTCGTGGATAACAAGAAGAATAGTGACGTTGATAAGAGTAATCTTAAGAGCTATAAAGATTTTTTTGGCTCTGAAACTGAGTTTTCTAAGCCCTTTGTTCCGTTTGATTTTCCATATGGCTTCGGGTATTTTGGGGTTTCGTCGGATCTCAGTTCTCCGGTTGAGTCGGTAGTCGGTTCTACTGAAGAAAGTGACGAGGAGGACTATATGGCTGGTGTGACTTGCAGAATGGCTCGTTCAACTCTTGATGATGATTCCAGGGGAAAAGAAACAAACAAGGTATTTAGATGTTTGTGATATAAGTCTGCTCTCTTACTGTGTTTTCTTTTTGTATACTGACATGGGTTTTCGATTTTAATTAGCAGGGTTGGTTTATCTCTGGTTCGCCGCAATCAACGCTGTGTGGACTTGGAAGTGGTTGTGGGTGTCGACAAGGATCGAGACGTGGAAGTCCGTCGGACGTCTCTTCGCCACCGGCTACTTGGGATCTCCTTTATGCGGCTGCTGGTGAAGTAGCAAGAATGAGAATGAATGAAAATGTGTACGGTTTCAATGGCCACACCAGAGGAATATTAGGTCCACCTGGAAAATCCTCTCCACTCGTTCCTCTGAAGAACTCAAACCCTGAAATTTCTGTGTATCCAGACCAGTCCTTTATTTACCAGAAATTGCAGGAATCTCAAGTAATTTCTTTGAACTAATTATATTAAGTTGTCTGTGTTTATTAGTATAGCCTAGTTTCGTAGATATTCAAAAGGGCTCTTGTTTGTTTTTGTTTCAGTTTCAGCAGCTGAGACAACAGCAAATAATGAAGCAACAGAGCTCTGTTGTTTGGGGAGGGCAAACAAAAGGCGCGGTTGGATTTTACCAACATCAACAAACACAAAATCCGGTGGTCCACACTAGAGGGAGAATCTCCAGTAGACCTACGGCTATGGGTTTGTCTCCTTCTGCATGGCCTTCACTACAGCAGGCCCAACAACAACAAAATCAAGGAGGCTCTGCTATGCGTGCTCTGTTTTTAGGCAATCCTGGCGGCAAAAGGGAATGTGCAGGCACTGGGGTTTTCTTACCTCGCCGAGTCGGGGCACCAGCCGAAACTCGCAAGAAACCAGGTTTGCCTCTATTTCTATCACAACATCTATTCATTGCTGTTGCTTGACAGATCTAGGTCTTAAAAATCTGTTTAGTTTGAGTTAATTTTATAAAATAATGAGTTAGTGTTACTAAATTGGATTTTACACATTTGTTTACAGCTTGTTCGACAGTTTTAGTACCAGCAAGAGTGGTGCAGGCTTTGAACTTGAACTTGGATAACTCGGGTGATCAGCATCCAGTGCTGCCTCGTTTTAATGGAAATGTTAACTCTGGCCATGGTGTGTAATTTTTGGTTTTTAAACTTGTAATTTGGTAATAATAGAGAAGGTTAGATCTTTGATTAATATTTAGATTTGTTGATTTTTTTTTATGCTGGCAGATAATGGATTGAGGACTCGTAATAGGAGTGCTGCTGTTCCTTATCAGAAGTTTAATCTGAGGCCACAACAAGAAATTAATAGCGAAGTGCGATTACCTCAGGAATGGACTTACTGACCTGACCCATCATTTTCTCCTGGGCATACAGCAATAGTTATGGTCTTTTTCTTTTTCTTTCTTTTTAGAGTTGTAGGAAAGTGAGAAAATTTCAAGGTTTTTAGTAGAAATCAAAATAAGGAATGGGAAATGGATATATTGAAAAGCAGCAGCTGCAGCAGCTGCAGCAGCAAGTATAGTGAAGAAGTTGAGATGAAGGAAAGGAAAAAGAAAGACAAGGTTTTTTTGGGGTAGAATTAGGGGAAAAATAATTTTGTTGTTTGAGGAAGTGATATTTTGAAGAAATGCAGAAACAGTTTTTGTTCATTTTGTTGGGCTCAATGGACGAGGAACTAGCCATTACTGTTATAAGAATTGCTTTTGCTGTTTGAAAGCTTTATTGTACGCCTTGTCCAAATGGCCATCAATTAATAAATAATTAGAAGGAATACATTTGATTTCCCAATTTGTTTTTGTTTTATTTAACTAAATTTTTTTACAGTTTAAAATAATAAAATAATCTGGGTGCTTGAACTTATTTATCTTTTAATTATCAAACAATAAATCTATTCTTGAGCCGTGTGCTTGCCTTGCCCTTCTTCCAATGTGTGATATTTTTCTCAAGAAAGTCAAATTAATTAAGCTTAATTAGGCTAATGATATTTGGTTAATTAAGGATGTGTGAACTGTCCTAACTGTGGATTCTCATTTATATAACTTAGTAGCGAAGTATCTTTTTTCTTGGTGACAGACAAGCGACAACCAATTCGCCTGCAGAAAAGAGAAGCCGTTTTCTACAATTACTAAATTAACCCTACGCGTGTACTTGTCTTTCCACACATGTTTATCCATTAGAACTGTGCTTTCTTCTCCACCAAAAAAAAAAACCAAAAAGTGTCCTTTCTGACACGAGATATTTTAATTTCTTTGGTTTGATTCAACGACCGCGGCGTGGGCTGGGCTGGGCTGGGCTGCCTTATTGCAGTGTACGGCCAGCACGCTGTGTTGCCGGCTAAGGTGTTTGTAGGTGGTGGTAGACCACGTCCACGTCCCTCCTTCGTCCACCTGCTGTGCTATCACGTGCTGCGCACTACTTGTGGTTATGCCATGACGCGCATTAATGGGACGATTGGGAGAATGCGATTTTGTATTTTCTTGTGTTTCGGGCGGGTACATGGTGGAAACTGGAAAATCTTTCATTTTTAGGTTCGTGTGTCGTTTGTAGCGGCGGTGGGGAGTGGTGTTTGACCGCGCGTTTCGCGTCGGTGTCTTTGTTCTGTTTGGGTTTTGGATTGTTTAGATTTAGATGTAAATATTTTATTTATTTATTTGTTTGTTATTAAAAACTATAATCAACCCTGTTAATAAAAAAAAAAAGATGGTATGAAACAAAATAAGACCCAGAGAAATGAATGGCGTAAACAAAATGGAATTAATATTTTTAATCATGAAAAAATATATTAATTGACTAAAATTACGATAAAAAAATATGATTTATATATTTACTTGTAACCTGGTTACTAGGTCTAGTGGTCTGATGTGTCAATCATTCTGTGTTGAGAAAGTGGTCACAAATTCTACATTATTGGCTGCAGTAAGATAGGTCCAAATGAAAATTCATAAATTTCAACTGTAATTCCCTATCGAAATTCTTTTTCCTTTTCTGTTTTGACTAAGATATTTTTTCTTGGTACTTCAAAGCTTCGTGTAGGTGAAGGAATTATTTATTCTTAATCTGTAGTATTATTTTTATAAAATATAATTTGTTTTTGTTGATTATTTTATCACTAAATATAGGTATTTTTAAATATTTCAATAAATAATAAATAATTTTTTTTAATATTACCCTTATTTACAATGAAATTATTTTTAATTTTAAAATAAACGGTTAAATGATTTTAGTTGTTTTTTTAATTTTTGTGAAAAACATTAAATGATTTATATTTTGGAATAGAGTAGTATAATATTAAAATTTAAATTTGAAAGTAAATTTTTTTTGAAAACCCATAAGTGATTAAAAGTTTAAAGTTATAAGAATTTATTATTTTTGGTAGCTACATTAATTTTATCTTTCCAAACTAGTAAACTGAATCCAATTAAGAATCTAATCCTATATGATATTTATGTCAACGGTTGGTCAACCAACGAGCCAACGAACCAATAAAATATATTAAAGTCGAAAGATATTTTGTAGTTCTGAAAAAGATATTTTACACAACACAGTTCTATGAATCATGAATTCATGATAGCATATTGATTTTTATTGCTAAATATTAATTTAGCACTTCTATTTTTCTCAACTACATCATAATTGAAACGACCTCGTTTCCTTCAACACATGACATGCTTTTGGTTCCATAATTTGACATCGTTGCTAATTATCAATTATTATAATCAATCATCTTCGAGGGGATGCTTAAGCCTTAAGGATAATGTGTTCTCACATCATTTCATTAGACCTACAGCCTACAAGCGTGCAAGATTTTAATTTTTGCTGACGTTATTTGTTTGGATATCTGAAAATTATTAAACCTTTCTTTATTTAAAGAAAAAAACAAAAATATTTATCGTCAAAGAGCATGAGAATTCAAAAAATAGTCTTAGATTGTTATTATTATTTTTGATTGGTCATAATCTCTTTCCCCTTTCAGTGTCCTACTGGGCCTGTTGCATATACAAATTTAAACAAATATTCATTAGTTAAAATCTGAATGTAAGGCCCAAAACAAGTGTTTCTAAAAGGGGCCCATTCCGGCCCAAACAAAATGCACGGATGATTTCAAAAAATTCGTTTGTCCTAGTTCAAATAATTTTTTAATTAATTAGCATAATTAATTGTCCTTTTTACTGTATAAATTTTTAAGCTATAAACATGATAATTACATGATATATTAAATATCACCTAATTCCATAATTTATTATCCAATATAAATTAATCAATTTATAAAAAATTTTCAAAAACATTAAATTGAATTATCCATCATTTAATGTCTCGATACACCGATTTGATTTAATTTTTATAAAATCAAATGATCAATTTCTTAAAATCGATTTCGGATCATTTTATACCAATTTAATAAGTTTAGGTGGTTTGATGAATATCCCTAATTCCGCAGAGTTCTTACGATTAAATTTGGATTGGTAAACCACAGCCTAAACAAAAACATACTGATAGCATTATGATGATTAAATCAATATTGATTGAAATAGAATATAAATTTCCAATACCGCAAATGTTAGGATTTGAAATTTAAATTTTCGGGTATTAAAGATCTTAAGGTTTAGATTTTTAAGATTTATTGTATACTGTTTCAGGATTTAGTATATTTTTATTATTTTTAATCCGATCTCCTCTGTCGGAAGAGGCTCGCAGACTTGATTAATCATGTATTTATGTAGGAAGTTGCATCATCCTCGTGAGAAAAAGATACAGAAGAAGTAACAACCCTTTGAACTATTTCTCGAAAGTGAAGCACAAAAGACGAACACAAAAAAACAGAGCAATCACGGGAATCCAGAAACAAAACGACATGAAAAAGCATAATATAGCCTTCAAAATTTGAAATATCTAAGAAATGTTAACATAACATATTCTTAATATACAAAAAAGAAATAAATCAAACTTTAGGAACAGGATCTTGGCCGTCCAAATCAGCTTGGTTGGCGTTTGCACGACCCCGAGCCTTGACAAGAAAAAACCCGACTCCATGGCCGGCTACCGCCGCTATAAAGATTCCGAGATTGTAAGACATGACAGCAAGCATGACCATGTAAGCGAAACCCATTCGAACCGCATAAACACCGGCTTGAATTAACGCAGTTATGACAGGATTGGTGCATAGCTTAGCCGTAGGCGACGCTGATAAAACCTCAATAGCAACTGCTAAAAAGAATATAAAAAAGAAAGATAATATGTACATACCAAGACTATGATTTGGCCACTCAGAAAATAGGATAATAGCGTCTTTGCCCCAGTAGAAGCTCATGTGCATCACCGTCTCCATTGATGGGCTCATGTTCATGCTTCCATCACTTGACATTTGGGGGTCCATAGGCTTCTCCATTGTTTTTCAGAGAGAGAAGTTGGAGATAAGCAGAGGAGATTTTATGTTATGCTTATATCTTTCTTGTAATTTCAGATATAAAACAAATGAGAGGTGGTGACATTCACAAGGACAAAACCAAGACAAGAACGAGGTGATGATGGATTGATGCCGATACAGCATTTTTATAATTGTTTATTTCTTCAAAGTTTTTTTTATTTTTAACGTTTTCTTGCCTTCATAATTTTGATTTTAAAAATAATGAAGTGTTCAAAATAATATTACGAGCTATACAACAATTAGATAAGTGAAAGTGGACTATATCCCATGTGTATTTTACTTATAAGATTTACAATCATCAATTTGAATTGAACATGAAAACAGAGTGCAAATAAAAAATAAATTATTCACTTTATTCTTTTTTTTCTCATAAACGTTGACATTCTTTCAATTTTTATATTTTTTTTGATATTTTATTAATATAAAAACTTAATTTCTAACAATTTTTAAGTTAAATATTTTTCATTTATTTGGTATATGAATTGGGCAAGTAAATCCTATAAAAAATTTAGGATTAATGTCTTGTAAGGACAAAATTTCTTTGACGAATCTATTTTTTTTTTTAAAATTTAACTAAATAAAAACATTTAAGCTACATATTTAAACAAGACCATTCACTTCACAAAGTAATTGCAAGAGAAGAGGAAAGAAAATATTTACATGATATGTTGAAAGAAAAACCCATAATAGATAAGATAGAGCATAAAGAGATATTACATAGAAGGACATCCTAAAACTCATATCCGCAAGATCAAAAATTGAAGTGAGCTAATGCCTAATGGTCCACCCTGTATAATCTTATCGATGTGTTAAAAACGAAGTACTGTTATTTTATTTTGTGTGAATACAATATAATATACTTGTCATGCCGTGTAAGACGGTGGCGTTTGATGAAGATATTAAATTTTCTAATCTCAAATCTGATTTAATTATTGATAGATGCATTTATAACTTTTATTTCTAAAAATTAAATTGAGGAAACAACGAACAAATTTTGCTCAGTTTGATTATGGTTGGCATAATATATTCAACCCATCATTCGCTACTTCAATTTTTATTTTCAAATTTATTACTTAAATCCTACAAACTTACCTACTATTTTGACAATTAAATAATTTTATATAAGTTGATTTTTTTTATCTAACATTTATAAGTTAGTTCGATTGTATTTGATGGACCGGAAGGTTGGAGTTTAGAAATTTGAAAGTATTAAATTTTTTAGATGGAGCACTCTATTGGTTAAAATATTTTTACAAAAAATATCTCTTAAATTTTGAACATTTGGACTCTCAGAGAAATTAATTGAGAAAAATATTTTTCTGATTAAAGAAAAATTAAATTATAAGTTCAATCATAAAATTAAAATTAGATATTCTCTCGAAATATAAAATTATAAATTAAATCCATTTTATGAATTTTTGACGTCGGATTTTCAGATTTCTATTCAATTAGTTCTAAATCCATTGGATAGTTCATGGGCTTAAATTACTTAAAGTGTTATACACTTGTAGTCACATGAACTTTAACATAAGATTAAAGTGTTATGATCAAACGGATTGTACGGATGATTAATTTAATTATTATTGAACTCAAGAAGGAAAATTACCAGTAAACAAAAACCTGAAATTAACTTACAAAAGCCATACGAGTATTATTCACATATTTCCCTTATTTAAATTTAAAACATAATTAATAAATTCTGCAACCAAAATTCAACACTTAATATTAACCGAAGGAAGATCCGGTTTCTTCTCCGACTTCTTTAAAACCTTTCTTGCAAACAGCGCAAACCCGACGGCATGTCCACCGACAGCAGCAAGAAAAACTCCCCCGTTATAAGACATAACGGCTAGCATAACCATATAAGAAAGTCCAGTACGCACCGTATGCATTCCAGTTCTAAAAAATCCGGCAGCGATCTTGTTCGTTCCGGGCTTAATGATACTGCAATAGTTGAACCACTCGACGATCACTGCGAGAGCAAAAACGAAGATCAAGGCCAGCGCGTACATACCGGAGCTCGAACCAGGCCATCCTTTGAAAAGAACATCTGTTTTGTGGCCCCAGAAGAAAGTCAAGTGGGTGATCGCTTTCTGGTGGACGTGGATTCCGGTTCCGGTGGTGTTCCACGCCGATGTTATTGACGATACAGTGGCACCGAGGCGTGACATCATTGTCTCGTCTGTCATGCTCATGCGTTTTGTGATTGTCTATGCTCGGTCACAGGTTTATATTAGTTTGTGAAAGAAATTCCTTGCTTGTTACTTGTACCTTTGTGACACTTTTACCGCTTTCTTTCTAGTCAAAAGAATTGCCTTCATAAGAGTCTGCACGTACAACCTTGAATAGCGGGGACTTTTGTTTTGACGGCTCTGTTTTGGTCATGCTCTGAGGATTTATTACTATTATTATTATTTTGTATATTGAGAACTATGGAATGACTCATGAGGAAGCAATGTCTGGAGGAATTAATGGAACTGAAAAATTCAAATTGGTAGGGCCATATAAAGATTTAGCAGTGATATCTTCTCCTTTTATCCGACAGCAGCAATTCTTGTTCCAAAATTTTCTTCTCATATAAGCTTGCCGACATTCAAATTCTCTACAAAATAATAATAAAATATAAATTTAAATACTCATACATTATGTTTTATTTTATTTACCGAATTGCACAAAATAAAAATTGGAACATCTAACTTTGCATATAAAGCTGGTACGTATATTTACTCATATTGTTGATGAAATAAACCAAGCCGACTTACTTTCTAAAAGTTAGCACAAGTCTACGGGATTGCCCAAGTCTTATATGTTAACTAAATATTTTATTTCAAACCAGTTTAGGATCACAATTAGAGATGAAAGCACGATGGTTTTTAGTAGATATCTTATTCGTAAAAGTTAATTTAAATCTAGTTTGGATATTGAATAAATGAATTTTTGATGGGTAGAAGTGGTAAATTAACTACCCACTGTGGTTAGATTGGCTGTGGGTACAAGCTATCCACCAAAACCCATTATATAATTTAACAAATTTAATATAATAAAATTCAAGTAAAGATTAAGTGCATATTGAACTTAATATTTTATTAAAATTAAATAAATTAACCTCAAACTCAAAGTTCCAAACCCTAACATCATCGGATACTAAAACAATTAATTACTTAAATAAAAAAGTAAACGATTAGAATTTTAGAATTGTCTTTCATTCATACTTTTCTGTTTTTAGTCACACATTTATTTTCATCTACATTTTCCAAAGCTGGACTAATATTAATTATAACATACTTAGTTAGGTATTGCACATATAAGTAGAGTGGATTTTCATGAGTATCCTACCCACCCCAACCCATTTAAAGCGGATCTGGATATTAGTTAGATGGACGTGGGATTAAAATTCTAAACGGGTGTGAATATGAGCGTGGGATGAATGTAGGTATCAAAATATTTAAGCGGATTTGTGCATGGATACCTACCCCACTGCCATCCCTAATAACAATTACTGAAATAAATTTTCAGAGGATTTGGTGTTTAGGGACAGTGACAGTGAGTAGTCCATTATTCTCAAAACAGATCTTGGTCATAGAGGGCTTAGCATTGAGAGGTAATTTATATCGTCTAAGGAATTCGGTGGTGTAGGTCAAAACATGCCGGTTGTCTTCTACATCTGCGCATCTTTTGCCGCTTATTTTGAGGACAGGACCTTCCTCCACTTCCACCGTCACTTCTTCTTGCTTTAATTCAGGAACGTGCAACTTATAAAGCCAGGCATTCTGCGTCTCTGTTTGCTCGATTTTAGGGTTCATGAGCATGATCGTTTTAGTTGGAAAATCATGTGCCAACAAAGGACTCGCATTTTTAACCCTAATCTGAAAATCGTTTACGCCCTTAACGTCAATAGAGAAATCACCTGAGGTTAAACTAGGATTGGCCAACATCTGAATTTGCTAGCTAAATTTCTTTGATTTAATAGGAAAAATGGAAGATAAATTGATAGTATAAATATGCAGGAAAGTAGCATATATTTATAATCGCGTGTGTCCACATATGCAGTGGATTTCCTATTTTATGCACTACACGTCAAGAAATGCGAATCCCCTTTATGCAAAGTTGAGAAATGAGATTAGATTCGAGATAGAACCAAATATTGTACAACTTTTAAATTTATAAAACAATCCCTGATTATATTTTTTAATATATAAACAAATAAATGATATTAGTATTAATTATTGTATAATGTCTATTAGCTCAAACCTAATGAATTGAAATTTAAATTAATTAAGACGGCAACAATAAGATAAAAATTCTACAAAACACAATGCATAATTAATAAGAAGTTGGAATACATTGCATAAATCGAGTTCCACTTCTTATAAGCATAAAACTACTCGTCGAAACATTAAAATTCCATTTAAGAGCAACGAAAGATCTTATATTTATGTTTGGACATGGTAATTAAATAAGAGAAAATGAGCATTTGATCTATCTTTGGGAGATATAAATTGTTACTAACTATATGACTTTCAAAATAAATCAACTAAAATTATTTTTATTTTTTTATGTGAAATAGATTTTTCACTAATTTCATTATTCGATAATTAAACTATTTTTAGATACTCCTTCATTGATAGTATGGTTGTTGAAACTTATGTGTATCTATAGCAAATTTTTGAACACAAAACTTAGGTATAAAAGATAAAAAAAATTATTTTGATCATTGAAATTAAATAAATAATTAATAGTCAAGATCATCTTGAAACTAAAAAGTATAACATCATTTATGTTGGTCATATTATTTAAAATAATTGAAATAATTTTTTTCATTTGTTAAATTAAAAACAAGTAAATTTTATTAATTGTAATAATAAGTTTTGTGACTGAGCTATCGTTTTGTAATTATTTGAAATGATTTATATTTTAATACTATTTAATGAATTTATATTTTAAAAATATCTATATTTAGATCTACAGTTAGCCTCAATTAATAAGTAACAACATTGTAATTTCATTTTTGGATTATACATTATGCACCCATGCAATACCATGCTTAATTTACTCCTATAAGTTATGTTCATAAAATACGAGTGGGAGTAGTGGAGATAATCTTCTTCATCTTCATTTTAGGAATGGTAACAGTAAGCTTTCCATGTTCCATATGAACCTTAGCTCTTTCAGCTTTTGCATTTTCAGGTAACGTAAAGCGCTGAACAAACTTACCATGGCTGCGTTCCACATGATACCATTTATTATCTACCTTTTCTTCTCTCTCAAAGTTCTTTTCTCCAATTAGGCAAATAACATTACCATCTTCTCTTTCCACTTTTACTTCTTTCTTAGGAAGAACAGCTTTTAGTATATGCGTCTCGGCGTCTCCTTCCACTCGATCTTGGCATTGACAGATGGTTCTGCTGTTGCTGCTCTGTCGTGAAAATCATAAAACGGATCCCGTACATCGGAACTGTAAGGACCGTAATATGGGTTATAAAATTTGCTGGACATTTTTGTTTAATTTAATATTTGATACAATGAGTTGGTGGAATAATTGATGATGTTGAAGGAGAATATCTGTGAGTTGTATTTACAGGAGCAAATTAAATTTAATTGTTTTTTTTTTTTTTTTTTTTTTTTTTTTTTTGGTTTTCTGCGATTGCTGCTCTGTCGTGAAAAATCAGTAAAACGGATCCCGTTACATCGGAACTGTAAGGAACCGTAAATATGGGTTATAAAATTTGCTGGACATTTTCTGTTTAAATTTATATTTGATAGCATATGAGTTGGTGGGAATAATTTGAATTGATGTTGAAGGAGAATATCTGTGAGTTGTATTTTACAGGAGCAAATTAAATTTAATGTTTTTTTTTTTTTTTTTTTTTTTTTTTTTTTTTTTTTTTTTGGTGCGTAGGATTTTTCCAAGAAAGAAAAGCATAATCCTATTTGGTGCAGAAAGACTCTACGATCAGATGGGAATTTGAAATTAGAACATTGAGAATGGGAGAGACGGCTCATTTTATTCTTGTTCTCCATTTTTGCATGATAAATTGCAGGCTAGTCCTTATCAGAATAACAAGGCTGGCAGGCAACGTGCAGAAAAGGATATAGATTCGGAAATTGCTTTCTTTCTTGTTTTCATTATTAGGAATAACTCTACTCTTTTTCGCTATTTTAGTCATAAAAGTGAAAATGCTTCACAACATTTGTAGGAGAGGCATTATGTTTTTTTTATTATTAATTATTACTACTTTGGTTTCTAAGTTTTTTATCATTCAATACAACCTAAACAGAAAGAAATATTACATGATGCAAATAAATAAAAAATTCAAAATACTATGAATTTGTATCCAATTGAAAATTTTGAGTCCTCTGAAATAATAATTAAATAGAACTAAAATTTGTATAATTCTTCGAAGTAAACTGAATTATAATCAAATAATATACAAGAACCACTACAAAAAAAACTTCAAATTGCGACCGATTTTTGCGACCGACAAAAGTCGGTCGCAATATGGATACCAATTTGCGACTGATTGGTAAACCAATTGCGACTGATTGGTAAACAGTCGCAGAATTTTTAGCCGCGGAAACTGCGCGCGGATTGTGCCTTTCAGTTTGCGACTGAATTACTGCGGATTTGCGACCGATTTTGCGACCGCTTTGCGACCAACTTTGTTTCTGTCGCAAAAATGGGCGCGTAAAAAAAAGGGACACAATCTGAGACCGAAATGAGATAAAATTGCGACTGATTTTTTGCGACCGCATATTTCAGTCGCAGATCGGTCGCAATTTTGGCGCATATTAAAACGATGTCGGACAATTAAAATTTGCGACCGATTTAAATGACATTTGCGACCGATGAGTCGGTCGCAAATATTAGGGCTTTAAACGCGCCCTCTTCTTTTCCTTTCGCCTCTTTTTCCTTTTTTTCTTCTTTCTCTCTTCTCCTTCTCCTCTCCTCTCTTCCTCCTCCGTCCGCAGCGCGCCTCCAGCCCTCCTGAGAAAGCGCTCCAGCCACTGTGACGCCGCCACCGACACCTCCAGTCACTCCTCTAACGGCGTTCGCCACCGTTTGGACAGCAATTTGGAGTAAGCCCGGTGACCCATTTTATTTTTTTCCCAATTTTTTTTTTTTTTTTTTTGCTGATTTTTGTGTTTTTTTTCAATTTATTATTATGTTAACTGTTATTACGTTAATATTATTAATATTGTTAATATTGTTAAATGTTGTTACTGTTATTATTTTTTTCGAATTTTTTTTTTCGATTTTTTTGTGTTTTTTTTCAATTTATTATTATTGTTAACTGTTATTATTGTTAATATTAATTTAATATTGTTAATATTGTTAATGTTGTACTGTATAATTTTTCAATTTATTATTATTGTTACTGTGACTGTTTTATTATAATTAATAACATTAATCAAATAATGGATTTATAATAATAGAATTATACTAATAAAATAAATATAATTGTCATTTCATTAAAGATTAAATTTGCATTATCATTAAAATCTTTATATATGTCCTTGTAATTATAAAAAAAATTAATAAGGTTTGAATTGAATAATAAAGAGAATTTCAAAATAATGAAAAAAAATAATAATTAATGGGTCGTTGAATTAAAAATAATTTTTAATTACAATAATAAATATTTTCAATTTATTTGGCAGAGAAAAATTGATCATATTTTGTAATGATCATATAATATCATCTTTTGTTATTTTAATGAAAACATATAAGTAAATATAAATTAAAAAAAATAACAATTTAAATCGGCATTCATTTAAATTTTATTAAAAAAATTATTATAATTATATCAAATAATTATACATGAATAATTTATCTATGAAATTAGAAAATAAACCATCAATAATAGAGGGATGGAGTTTGGTAAAAAATCATACGTACAAAAAGATTCCAAGAATAACATTCAAAAGAAATTTTCTTTAAAAAATTATTTAAAATAAAATTAATTAATTTATGAAATAATAAAATTATCAGTATAAAACAAAACCACAAGAATTTCCCAAACGTAATTGGTTACCTGGATGAGGAAAGTATTGATTTTTGGGGATTCTATTAGCATATTTAATCAATAATGATAAATATTTTTTATTATTAATTTTTATAATTGGTTAAATTATGAAATAATGTGGCACCACTCTTATTTAATAATTATGTCACTTTCCCCAGAAAATTTATTTCGCAAGTCTAACCATCTTACGTCCAAATTAAGATAAAATTAACGTTGAAACACACAAATATATATATAATTTATTTGTCATTCTCAAATAATAAACTTACTTGTCATTGGGTTTGTTACAGTTGCATTGACAAAGTGGTGTTGTTTTGTTAATTTATTTTTTAATAATTTCCACCGTTTCTAATGGATAACGACAACTTGTTTGAAAATGCTTTCATTATATTTCAATTAAAATATTTTATTAAATAATTTTAACATTATAAGTTAAATAAAAAAAGAAAAAGTTAAACGGCTAGTTAATAAGAAAAGATAGAGGTGGGCTCATTGGGGCCCAATTTAATAAGGCGATGGTTTAAAGGGCCTAAAGAATTATGGGCTTTTATAAATACGCGTTGTTTAGTTATAGTAATTATCAACATGTACTTCCTCCACTACTGCCTAAGTTAAAATTAAAAAGAAACCCTCACTAGAATTGAATTTTGCGTTTTAGGTTAATTGAAATTGAATTTGAATCAGGGTTGTGATAATTGTAATGAGTGCTGCAGTTTTTTATCCTAACCTAACGTGCAACTTTGTTGTGACGTTATTATTCTTAAATATGTTTTTATTAAATGAATGAGGATTGGAGGCCTAGTAGTGGCCATTTTGCCTTTGGAGAATGTTGATATGTTATAGAAGTGTTTATTGAAGTGTCTTTGTATTTGAGATTTGATTGCGTTGTGCCGAAATGCTGCCGAATTTTTTTCAATAAATTCAATATGTAGAATAATACACTTACCTTTATTATAGTAGCTATATATATATATATATATATTAAGTTTGTGTTTGTGTATGTTATTACTATACCCAGGGCGTAAGTCTTTACTGTCTCAAACGGTAGACAGTAAAGACTTATCAAATCCGTTGATGGCGGTGGATTTGCCAAAAATCCAGTATACTCCTCAAAGTATACATAAATGGTTTGTTAAAAATATTTTTAATTATGAAATTGAGATCAAGGATGGGTATAAATATTTTTAGGCTTAACCTACAAAAACATCCTCAACTTTTGAGCTTGTGCAAAATCACTCTAAATTGACTTTTACCATACGCACTCTCATTTTGAAACTTAGATATATACGAGCTTCACTCTTAACCTTGGGTTAACATGATCTAAGGATTAAAAAAACCCACGTTTTGAACTTTCGTCTCATCTAATTCTCTCAACTTATCCTTTCACTAACGTTGGCTGATTGTTATTAAGCATCTGGTTTTTCGGTTGGAATAGGATTCTTTGCCCTGTATTTAAACAACTCAATCAACAAACAAAAAATATTATTTGGAAAAGAAAAAAAAATTATCTGCTTCCTCTCATTACTTATGCGGGCTTCTCTTTAGAGTATGTAAAAGAACAAAATTAAGCAACAAAATAGGATAAATATTTAAAAATCAACATTTCTCAGCATATCATAAAATCAATCAAAAAAAAAAAAAAAAAAAAAAATTGACATGCTAAGTGCAGTAAAACATTGAACTTGTGGCCCTGGACTGCAAGAATCATTCAGTTATGTCTGTTGTTTGCAACGATTAACTAACAACAACATACCGAAATGAAAGCAGAGCACCATTTTTCAGAAAGGTTGTTAGATGATTTTGTTCAGTTAAGCAAAAGAATGTTGCCTGAAGGCATATCAATTGGTTGATAA